TCTCTGAACTTCATCTGTAAAATGAGAACCATATTTCACAGTATCATGATATAATGTGTGGAATCTGTGAGCCTCAGGGTTTATCAGAAGGGTTACCATTTAATTTTTATCACCACTCTTCGCTTTCTTGATATTTGCAGTCAGTCTGGGGCATGCTTGGGCTGGAGCGATAGCACAGCGGGTAGGGCGTTTGCCTTACAAGCGGCCAACATGGCCGACCCGAGTTCGATTCCTCCGCCCCTCTCGGAGAGCCTGGCAAGCTACCGAGAGTATTCGATATGCCAGACACAGTAACAACAAAGTCTCCAATGGAGACGTTACTGGGCCCGCTCGAGCAAATCGACGATCAACGGGAGGGCCTTTACCTTTACCTTTACCTGGGGCATGCTTGATTAGAGATATTCAAGTGTGAGTATGAATGTGCATCAGAATGATCTGGATTCTTCCCATGACACCCCACCACTCCAGGGTGTCTAGAGAGAAGATATGGGTGTTTCATGAATGTGCATTTTTTTTTACGATTTTTATTAGTGAAACATCATGAGGTACAGTTGTAGATTTATAAATTTTTGTGCTTGGGTTTCAGTTATACAATGATCAAATACTCATCCCTCCACTAGTGCCCATTATCCACCACTACTGATCCCAGTATCCCTCCCCCCCCGCCCCCCCCCCATCCCACTCTGCCTCTGTGGCAGGTCATTCCCCTTTGTTCTCTCTCTCCTTTTGGGTGCTATGGTTTTCAAAAGTATCAAGCTAAGCGAAATGAGTCAGAAAGAGAGGGACAGACATAGAAAGATTGCATTCATCTGGGGAACATGAAGTAACAAAATAGGAGACTAACACCCAAGAATAGCAGAGATAAGTACCAGGAGGTTCACACCATGGCTTGGAGGCCAGCTGCACACGCTAGGGGAAAAGGCAGCTCAGATAGAGAAGGGAGGACCAAATAAAGCATGCTGGGAGGATCCTCCCAGGATGGGAGATGCGTGATGAATGTGCATTTTAAAAAGTTCCCAGGACATACAGAAATTCCTGGTTCCAGAACCTCTCTTTGTGAACCTCTTTACTGGGTCATCCTTGATAAAAATGGAATCCGATGGCAAAAGCTTTTTTCTTTGTTCACCTGAACCCGCAGTGAGACACCTTTTACATAACAGACCCAGTATAAATAAGCAAATGACTAAATGAGTTTCATGAAATAATGCCATTACTACAGTCAAAGTACTTTGATACACACCCATGTGTACGTGTTATTTTTTTGGTGGGGGATTTGGGTCACACCTGAGGGTGACTCAGGAGTCTCTTCTCCACAGTGGTCAGGGGATCATGTGGTGCCAGGTACCAAAGTAGGGTCAACCTCATGCAAAGCAAGCACCTTAACCCTTGTACAATCTTTCCAGTATATTTAAAGAAAATCTGACCCACTAAACTGAATTTTTATTCCCTCGCTGGGGATCAGATATTGGGATTCTCAGGAACACTTCTGTGCTTGCCAATAGCACTGGAGTTTTCACTCTTGACTTCACTCTGGCCAGGCAAATACTAAAAACACTAAGTCATTTCCTGGACATTTAAATTGACTTCTGTGAGTCATTATCGGGTCAAGTATTATCTGAAAATTACTTTCAACACTTGAAAAATATTGCATAGGGTGAAAATGTACTACTCAGCATGATACCACAGGGCAAATATGAAGTGTTGCTTTCTTTTCTATTGTAATAGAGTCTTGCAGAAGCATGAACCCACCTTTTCTTGGGAAGAGAAATCCTGTTGAGACTTTGGCTGCTGAAAGTGAGTTGCAAGCTTTGGTTTGCAGAGGAATTTCTTAGACTTGAGTGTGTTTGTAGGGAAGCCTGACTGGAAACAAGGAAGAACACCCAAGATCTGCCCCAACACATCCAGAGAATGAAGAAGTCCTGACATGGGGCTTGGCCTCTCTTTTCCACCCTGCTCCTTATCCCTAATGGTTCCCTTTCCCTAGAAAACTATGAATGCTCGGTGGAACTCCATTGACTATGTGACTTGGCTTTGGCTGTCAGGTGGTTCCAGCTTTGCATTGGTCAAACCTGCACCATGGACAGGCTCATGCACCATTGGCTGTCACCAGCTACATGATGACTTTCTGGCCATCTTTGCCTTAGTGGCCTCTGCTCTGGACCTGGGAGCTGCCTTCATTAGGATCAGATCACAGATCACAGATCATCCTGTTAATCGTCGATTGCCTCAAGCAGGCCCCAGTAACGTCTCCTTCATCCTAGCCCTGAGATTATATTCAAGGCTCTTTAGGAGAATGAGACCCATCATTGTTACTGGTATTTGGCATATTGGGTATGCCACGGGGAGTTTGCCAGACTCTGCCATGTGGGCAGGCTACATTCAGTAGCCCACCAGTTTGTCAAAGTAGGAATGAGATGTCATAATAAGATGTCTCGCGGCCGCAAATGCGGCCGTGCGGTTCCGGGAGCTGGTTTTTATAGTCTCTGAGTCTTGGCCGCTGATGGGATTACACGGTGCCAGGGGGCCAGTTGGTGGGTGTGACCCCCGCCTACTGGAATTTGGAGGATCTGGGTGAAGGATGCTCGACTCCAATCCGAGTAGGCTTGGAGATCTCGGCCCTGGAACCCACGTGGCTTTGTCCCTCTGCCGGTACCTTCAGGTGTGCGGAGAGTGGTCTCAGCATGGTGGTGGATGCTAAGGTGACCCAGGGACCTCAGTTTGCTTCCTAATATTTTGCCAACATTCTCTGCCCTTCCAGCAACCTGGGCCTTCAGTGTGAGAGCTCCAGATTACTGTCCCTGGCATGGAAATCTCATTTGATCCAGCCTTTGCTGGAGACTCACTGCATTATCATTAGAACTCCATAGAATGGCAAGCTTGGGAAGGGGAGAGAAGTGACAGATTCAGGTCCCTGTGGGCTCTTGTTTCCGTGGAGGGAGAAACAAATCTTAGTCTTTCTGCTGTGCTTAATCCATGTCAGTCCAAATCTTTGAAAGCCAGAGGCTCCCATCCTTACTGGTGTGGCCAGGTTAGTCTTAAGGGAAAGAGAAAATGCCATACTTGATTTTTGCCTCAAGGCAGACAGACTCCTTGAACATAGCATGTGTATAGCTTCCTTTTGCCCTGGAAGTCTCATGCACCCACTGTGCTGGCTGTGGGAGGTGGACCATGGCCATCTGGACCAGAAAGAAGTAATGCATCAAGAACAATTCCTAAACTTTTAATTTACTCAAGTAATACAACTTGGAATCAAAATGCTCTTGTAATCTTCAAGTACAAGTCAGTTTGAACTTGAGAACTTCAATTTTTTCTTTCTTTTTTGGGGGTAATACCCACCAGTGCTCAAGGTTTATTCCTGACTCTGTGCTCCTGGCAGGCTCAGGGGTTCATATAGAATGCTGGGGATTGAACCTGGTTCGGCTGCATGTAAGGCAAGTGCCCTAATGACTGTATTATCTCTCCTGCCCAAGACCTACAATTTTCATGAAAATTTCCCTCATTCCTTAGTGTCCTGTCATCAACATAATGAAAAATTCATTCAATTGTTACAATTAATTGAATAGCAATTTTTACAGCACAAGGGCAGGGCCATGGAATACTTTCGTCTATAGTAATAAAAGGATAATTGGGATAGAATGAAGGAGAAAAATGGACAACAGAAATTCTCAGAAATAGACTAACACCTAAGGTCATTTTAGAAAAGGGCCAGGAGGATCCCTCCATGGTTTGAAGGCTGGCCTCACATGCTGGGGGAAAAGGCAGCTGGGATGGAGAAGGAACACTAAGTAAATAAGGGTTGGAGGGATCGCTTAGGATGGGATATGTTTGCTGAAAGTTGACTAAGAACCAAAATGTATTGCAAGTATGTGTACTGTAAACCATAATACTCAAAAGCAGTGAGAGAGTAAGAAGGAACATACTTGCCACAGAGGCAGGGGGTGGGATGGGGTTGGGGAGGCGGGAGGGATACTGGGAACATTGGTGGTGAAAAACGCACTGGTGGAGGGATGGGTGCTCAGTCATTGTATGACTGAAACTTAATCATGAAAGTTTCTAATTGTATCTCACGGTGATTCAATAAAAAAACTAAATAAAATTTTTAAAAAGTTCTCAGAAATAACCCAGGTTCCTCATATCTCACTTCTTCCTAATTCATACCTCACACAAAATCTGCCTCTAGATTCTATGAATTAAGTCTATTTGAGGTGTGTCTAACCAGGGCTTTGGACAGACTTGGCACAAAAAAAATTGTTCTATGATTAATACTTGGCTTACTCTACTGTATATTCCAAAGAATTCTAACAAGGCACATGGATCCTATGTTTTGTCAAGATCTCAGTCAGTAATGACTAGAGGAAATTGGATCTCCTCCATGACATAAGGTGTTCAGAATTTACCTGAGGGCAGTCCCAAGGCGGGGACAGTTAATAGAAGTCATCTTCTCTGGGCTTTAAATATCTGAGCTATTTTACTTAGAAAATTATAAATAGAAAAAGGAATTTCTGGTATTGATTTTCTGGGTTACTTTTTAACTTAGAGAAAATTTTTAGAGCGGTCGTGGGGGAGAAAAAAATGACGGCGCGAACATGAGGTGACACATTGGAGAAGCATCTTGTACCACAAGCCATGGCTCAGTTGGGAAAACGCCTCCATATTTGGAGACACAGGACACATAAGACACTATTTGTTTCCAGATCACTGGACAGACTTCCATCTTCGGTATACCTTGTGCTTCGTTATAGTCTGGTAATAAAAGCATTACTTAAGGTTTGTTCTCAACAAAGTGGAAAGACCACGTTAAAAAATGGAAATGATCCAATTGCTGATGTTGCAAGAACTTTGGGCAATTGTGCAGTGAGACTGAAGTTGCAACCTGTAAAGCATGAGGATAGAGAGACCCTTAGAAGATAATAGTAGCTGTGGAAATAAAATGTACAAATAAAATATACAAACACATGTCTTTTAAAATGTTGCAAATGTATTTTGTCCTGTAGATCAGCTCACATTAGTTCTCGAATCTTCGCTTCCAGTGTTTTAGCATCAGCACCACAGAGTTTATATATCTGTTCACAAATATACAAAAGTAAAATGTTTATTGGCCCAAATATTGCCAGAATGTTGCGTCTTAATTTTTCTCTTGCTTATAAAATTATCCTCTACTTATTTCAATTGTCTTCAAGAGACACAGAATTTAGACACACATGAAACATATTAAATTCAGGAATAGGGAAATGCAAATTGAAACAACAGTGAGATATAATCTCCTCCTGTGAGAATGGCATGTAGCCAAAAGTCAAAACAGCCAGTGTTGGTGGGTGTGTGTGTGTGTGTGGTGAGAAAGGAACCTGCATCCACTGTTAATGGGAATGTCATCTGGTTCGGCCTTTAGAGAAGGTGCTTGGAGATCTAGCAGAAAAATAGAAATAGAACTACCATACGATCCAGCAACACTAATTTTCTTGGCATTTATCTCCAAACACTGTCACTGTCATTGTCACTGTCCTCCCGTTGTTCATCGATTTGCTCGAGCGGGCCCAGTAACATTGTGAGACTTGTTACTGTGTTTGGCATATCGAATATGTCATGGGTGGCTTGCCAGGCTTTTGCATGCAGGTGAGATACTCTCGGTAGCTTGCTGAGCTCTCCGAAAGGGGTGGAGGAATCAAACTCAGGTTGGCCATGTCAGCCTCATGCAAGGCAAATGCCCTACCTGCTGTGCTATCCCTCCAGCCCATCTCCAAACACAATAACATTAATTCAAAGGGATATATGCACACCCATGCTCTTCACCACACTTAGTACAATGGCCAAGATATAGAAAGAACCCAAAGGCCCAATTCAGACAAATGGATAAAGAAGTTGATGTTATGTGTGTTTGTGTATATTTATATATATAGCACTGTACCACTGTCCTCCCGTTGTTCAGCGATTTGTTCTAGCGGGCACCAGTAACGTCTCACAACAAATTATGAGACTTGTTGCTACTGTGTTTGGCATAACGAATACATCATGGGTAGCTCGCCAGGCTTTGCTGTGCAGGCGAGATACTCTCGGTAGCTTGCTGGGCTCTCCAAGAGGGGCGGAGGAATCAAACCTGGGTAAGCCGTGTGAAAGGCAAACTCCTTACCCGCTGTGCTATCACTCCAGTCCATATATATAGATATATACTTATATATAGGCACACACAATGGAATAATACATAGCTCTAAGATAGAAAAAAACATGAAATTTGCAGCAACATGGATTGAACAAGAGGATGTCATGCTAAGTGAAGTCAGTCAGAGGAGAGGGATAGATACAGAATGATCTCTACTATAGGTGGGACTTAATGGATACACAGCAAGCTAGCAACAAAGGTACAAAAGCAACACAAATGGAAAATTGATCCATACAATTGAGTTTGGGGGGCTTTGGAGAGAGGAGTCTTGGGGTTCTTGGACACGGAGGAGGTATACTAGTGATGGGTGTGGTGTTGGAATTATGTACATGTAAAGGTCCTCCCGTTGATCATCGATTTGCTCGAGCGGGCCCAATAACGTCTCCATTGGAGACTTTGTTGTTACTGGCATATCGAATACGTCATGGGGAGCTTGCCAGGCTCTGCCGTGCGGGCGGGATACTCTCGGTAACTTGCCGGGCTCTCCGAGAGGGGCGGAGGAATCGAACTCAGGTCGGCCATGTTGGCTGCGTGCAAGGCAAATGTCTACCGCTGTGCTATCGCTCCAGCCCCATGTACATGCTATTATTAATAGCATTGTAAACCACAGAATCTCAATACAGAAATTTAATTAAAGAAACTTTATACATGTATATTAAAAATATAAAATATAAATTCAGGTTTTTCTCATTTGAATTTTTCCAAAAATTTTGATGCTAATAATTCTGCCAGATTTCTATACTTTTTAATAATATTAATCTAAGATGTAAAATATAACGTTATTGGAAATGAGGAATCCTAGTCACTAAAACATCTCAGTGCATTTTGTTGTTGTTGCTTTGTTTTGGGCCATGCCTGGCTTATTTCCGACTCTGTGCTCAGGGATCATTTCTGTGGTGCTCAGGAAACTGCATGAGGTGCTTTATCAGGTTGATTGTATGCAAGGCAAGAACCTTACCTGCTGTACTATCACTCTAGTCCCATCTTAGTTTATTTCTACAAATTGTTAGAGAGGACTTGTTAATTCATACACATGATTTCTTGAGGTCAAAAGACTTTTTATTTCCCTGCCCTAATTTTGGCTGAGGCGTGATATAGTATAACTAATCATTTCAAAGAAAGCATATTTGATTTTCATATGCTCCTATCTCTAAGTCAGGATGTATTTCACAGTGGTTTATCTTATTATTATTTTAAAATTGAGTCACCGTGAGATACACAGTTACAAAGTTGTTCATGATTGGATTTCAGTCATGCAAGGTTCCAACACCCAACCCTTCACCAATGTACATTTTCCACCACAATGTCCCCAGTTTCCCTCCCATCACCCCCACCCCCAGCCTCTATGGCAGGCAGGAATTTTTCTTCTCTGTCTCTCTCTCTCTCGCTTGCTCTCTCTTTGGTGAAGGATTGGATGCTGAACATTGTATGACTGAAAATCAGTTTTGTAACTCACAGTGATTCGATAAAATGGGAAGGGAGATGGTAACGGCCATTGGGGCAGATGTTGAGAAAGTCTAGAACACATTTCAATGTACAGTGTATAACAGAGAAGAAAGCATCCCCACCATTAATAGTTCCCAACAGCAGCATTCTATATGGGTGTTTCCTATGGGCACTATGGTTTACATTCTTCCATAAAAATAAATCCCATACTTGGGACTTTGTCTTGATTTCACTTACTGGCTCATTCTTGGGTCCACTTCTATAACAGCAAATTGCTCTTTTGAGTCTTGCTAACAGGCTTACCTAAGTGTGGGTGCAGAATTTCATGATTTATCCAGGTTGCTTTTGTAGCCCTTTCCACTAAATGTAGTTTTCTTGGTAGTGCCTGCCACGGAAACAAGGCGTCTAAAAGGACCCATAACAGTCTCTTTTTCCTAAGATTCAGGCGCTAGTTGGATGGTAGTGTTAGGCAAGAAGAGAGTCTCATATTCCCCGAAGCCAGAACAGGTACCAAGACAAGAACCTGAGCAAGAAAATAGATAGAGCATGGACAACTGGTTAACCAGACTCAGCAGAAATGGTGAAATATCCAAAGCTGAGCCAAGGGAAAAGAGTACAGAGCTGTTGCTGGGCTCTAAAGATCCCAGAGACCCAAAGATATTTTAAGGAGCATGCTTCATTAGGCTAGAGAGCGGAGCATGCTTTTCCAACTCATTAAAAAAATTTTGTTTTTTTAAAATATGTATATTCATCTTTATTATCCAACTAAAAGTGGAAGAAGAGATTACAGAAATTTATTCATTTTTCTAAAATTTTATAGTTGTGGAAATTGAACTCCAAAAGACCAAATATCTTACTGACAATGACGTAGTATATTCAAGCAGATCCTTACCCACAGATAGGCATGTTTCCATTTTCTTTTGTTTGCTTGCTTGCTTTTGAGATGGGGCAACACCCAGTAGTGTTCAGAGGCTACTCTCAGTTCAATGCTTGGGGACCCCAAGTGGTGTTGGGGACTGAATCCTGGCTTCATACAGGCAGAATATGCACACAGTCCTCTGAGATCTCTCTCCAACTCTTTCTCTCTCTCTCCAATTCTCTTTCTCTCTCTCTCTCTCCCCCTCTCCCTCTCCTTTAAACTATGGGGACAGCAGCAGAATTTTCCTAGACAGTTCAATTTGTTCTTACAAGAATTTCATCCTTTTTTTCTAACCAGTTCTCAGGTGAAATGCAGGGTGTGAGAAGAAACTCAGGTATCCTCCCCTTGTGTGTCTTTTCCCACAGGACAGGAAAGGTGGGTGTCACTGTCACTACAGTGGCCCTTTGTAGGCAGTTGTTCTCCTGTGGCTTCTGTTCTAGATTCCTCCTGAATCTCTATCCTGTACCGCTAGAGAGCAATTTCTTCAACTACAGGTACAAGTAGCTGCTGAGGAGAACAGAACATGCCACAGAAAGGATGAGAATTTCCTATTATGAAAAGAGATGAGAAACTTCCCATAACCACTGATGCCTAGTTCTTGAACTCTCTGGGCTCACAATGACCTCTATTATGAGTGTTTTTGGCGTTTTGGGTCACACCCAGCAATGCACAGGATTTACTCCTGGCTTTGCACTCAGGAATTACTCCTGGCGGTGCTCAGGGGACCAGATGGGATGCTGGGAATCGAACCCGGGTTGGTCATGTGCAAGGCAAATGCCCCACCGACTGTACTATCACTCCAGTCCCATGAAGACATTTTAAAAATCATCTTTATGGTGCTAACTCTAGTGTATCTGCTATGCCTGCTTATCTAGGACCTTATCCCCCAATCACCATGATGGTGACTCTGTCACTGTCACTGTCCCTGTCCTCCCATTGTTCATTGATTTGCTCGAGCAGGCCCAGTAATGTCTCCATTGTAAGACTTGTTGTTACTGTGTTTGGCACATTGAATACGCCATGGGTAGCTTGCCAGGCTTTGCCATGTGGGTGAGATACTCTCGGTAGCTTGCTGGGCTCTCCGAGAGGGGCAGAGGAATTGAACCCGGCTCAGCCAGGCCAGCTGCACGCAAGGCAAACGTCCTACCACTGTGCTATTGCTCCAGATGATGACTCAAGCCAAGAAAAAAAGAAATGCTATAGTTAAAATATTCTTATACAGGGACTGGAGAGATATACAGGGATTAAGGTGTATACCTTGCACAAGCCTGTTCCTTAGCACCACACAGGACTTTCAGGTGTGGCCCCCCAAATAAACAAATTACTGAGAGAATGGAAAAATCACCAGACCCAAAGTCCTTCAAAACTCTTTGCAATAACTGAGGAAGAAACCCTTTAATCAACTACCCAAAGCAGCCCAAAACACTCTAGAGTTTCGACGATCCTATTCTGGATGCTTAATCTCTTTTAAGGACTCACTCTGTCCCTCTCTGAAGAAGTCTGTGTCCTCAATAGAACTAATATTCCCCTTTATTAAATTT